TGGCATATTTACTCGTATAAATGCTCCGTTCATTACCCAAAACTTCTCTTCTTGTTTTCGTATTGGGATGTTCACATCCTGTTATCAGGTTCTCCTTGGTTTTACTGCCCTTTCTAAGTTATTTATTGCTTGTTCTAAGATGAACATAATTTCGTATTGGTTCTTGGCAATAATCGTTTCCAAATTGTTTTATTCCGCATTATTATCATTACTTATATTAAATGTTAAATGTATCCCCCTAGATATTCATAGGCGCTTAAGATGTGCTAGCAGCTCAAGAGATTGAGAGCAAAGCTCACCTTCCCTGTTGTTATTCACCCGCGCGGATTTTCATTTATTATATTTGCAAAAATTACCTCTTAGATCCACTCAAGATATTTTGTTCTAACACACTATTAGAATCTTTTAACGATGATCGGAAACGCCCTTGGCCCTGACCTAGGGCAATCAGCGCGGCGAAAACCCGCCTCAACTACAGGAAGAGATTACACAGCGCGGCGGTAAGCATACAAGGGGCCCCTGGGTCATCCTCGTTGAGATCCGCAGAGGCGCAGAACACCCTGTCAGCAACTCCACAGATCGAGAGCAGAGCTCGCCACCAGTCGTGTGTATGTTTGCCCGCAGTAAAGAACGCAGAAAGAGAAAACGTTTGATGTGATTTGAGAAAGGGTTTGTGCCTGACATCTGCACTTCCTTTTGATGGCTTTTGGGATGATTTTAACGCTAGAATGCAGACATTTTCCGTAACTCAGAAAACTTTGACTCACAAGTAAACAGGCCATCGAAGACGGTTTTGCGAGATATTTAAGCATTGAAGGAAATTAGTTTGGTGAGAAAAATATCTTAAAATAGGTAACCCGAACTTTAATGAACTCATCTTTACTTAGACATCAACGCTTTTGAAGCCAATACTCTTAAACAATTCTTTGAATATTTTAATCGTACAAAGATTTATTTTCATCAGAAAGATTATCTCGTTTCCATTAAAATTGATTATTCATTACTTCATAACATTTCAGACTGTAATCCGGGACCTGATATATGTAGGAGGTAAATCTAAGCTTCGTAGTACCCTCTCAGAAAAATAGTTCATAAATTCATAATTAAATGCTAATTTATTTTCTATTTAAATAATAATTTACCTGCTTCACATAATATACTTTTAATCTGTAGCAGGAGCTAAGTGATGAAATAACTCTAGAACATTATTGCTTCTGGCTCTCGCATTGCAAACAGTTTCAGACGCAACAAGACCTTCGAGTGCGCAGTGAAGAACAGGATGTACTGACCAGAGCTTCTTAAGAAACGATTCTAAAGACGTCGAATCTGCTGGAAATTTTGTAAAAGGAAAGGAAAGATTTTCCTGCAAATTCTCAAAGAACCGAACAAAAATAATTATTAAGAACATAAGATCTAAGAATTATTAATACTCAGAAGAGAGGATTATTTTTTACGTATTGTTAAAATAAGTTGATAGTAATTCATAAAACCCCTACAATTCGGAGACTGAAAGTTTCCTGTACCGTTAGATGAACACGCTCAGGGGAAAAAATTGAACTACTATTGTTATAATGTTCACTAGATAATAAATCTAAATAAACAATACATAATTGCTGAAATAGTATAAAAACAGTGAAATCTGCAGTACCCATTGGGATGAATAAAGGTCTAAGCCGTGGTGGATAATAAAATAGCATGATTCTTCTGAATTGTGTGCATATACCACAAAGTTATTTATTCGTCATTCTTCTGACACAGTTTCGATTAATGTCGCGGAACCTTAGGTCACAGCGAAGGATGTTTTTGAAAGCCTGTTTTTTGCATTCATAAAAGGAACACTCAACGTCAAGCTGGCTTCCTGATGAAACAACAAAATCCACTAGTTGCGAACATGACATTAACTGTTTCGCAGAAAGCATGTTCTTTCGAACTGCAGCAAAGCTCGAAAAAATTACGGGAGGTTTATACTTCAGGCAAGTGGTACTGAAAGTTGGGATCCGTGAGTTTTCTTGTAGTTACCCCGAAAGTTTTAACGAAAATTTATTTTGACATGAAAATTTCTTTCTGTTCGTTGCATTGGTGGCCAGTCGAATTTTATAAGACAACATACCGTGAGATTGCAATCGAACATACCAACGAGAGCAATAGTTGCGTCCGTAATGAAATATATATATATATATATATATATATATATATATATATATATATATATATATATATATATATATATATTCCGATCCCGAGCGATAGCGTGATTTTGAGTGGCAACAAAAAGCAAACGCGAAAACGCAGTCAGGCAAGTAATCAGCATATCAGTCGGGTGTAGAGCAACCCGTGACCACCCAATCACCCACGGACCCTAGACAGACGACCTTGCAAGACGACACAGGAGACAGTAATAAAAAAAGATGGGTGAAAGTGCAGCAGCATTTCTAGGCAAGCGTCAGAACAGGTAAACAAGGTGGTGTGGGTTTCCGGGGCCGCACTCACGTGAATGATCTTGGATCTCTGGATGACGACGCGTCAATCAATTGATTGAAAGATTACTAGAGATTCCGGGCGCGTCAACTGCTAAGGACGTTAGTCCCGTGATGTAGTGCATATTTTTGCTTGAGAGTTGACGAGGAGCTCGCCCCCCTGGATGTCGAGATCCGCCGCCAACCTACCGTCGGCTAGCAGGGTTTTCCCTATCCAGGTATCTCCCACTAGCGGGGCACTGCCCCACCCGACACAAGCTCAAAACTCGCGACCTGTCTCCCGGTATGTGCGGTAGTACACTGCTTGTAAGTGTAATTTTTGTGTAATTATGTGGTAGGATAGGACAAGGAATGGGAAAGAAAGTTAGCGCGCGGCCCGTGACCCGTTTGTTAGGGTAAAGCTCTGGCTTTCGCCTGGCTTCGATTGGAGAAACCACGGGAAACTAGCGACTAGAGCAGCCGGGCACTAGAATGCTCCTCCATGCAGACCCTCAATGATACTACCTTCCATTTCTTCCGTTACTTGCAGCAACGGTAATACGAGTATAGTTTCACTACGGACTTCACGGAATATCAACCACCTGTACGTGAACTGCACCTACCCCTCGCTTTGTTTTAAACCTTTACTGCTGTCTGTCGTTGCGTGTTATATAGTATTTTAGGTTTCTTACAGAGCATTTAAAAGTGATTTACTCATTTTTTTATTCTCCCACCAAATTATTTTTTTAAAATATATTCAATATTTTCCTTGATGAAGGTCCATTTCTCGAATTAGAATGTGAAATTTACGTCAGCACGTATTTTGGAGTATTAGAAAAAATAAGACAAGTACGCAATGCGCAAAATATTGAGAGATTCGCAAATCTATTTTGCCTGTCAGTGGATTTTCTTCAAAGACTCTGCAATAATTTTAAGAAAAGAAAAAAGTGGTTTATAACTATTTTTGAGGACCACTGTCGTAGAGAACTTATAAAGTGGCACTCATCATACTTCAACGCGTCTATGATGACTGCGGGCAAGTCTCGCAAGCTATGTTATTCCGCAGTCTGAAGAATGAAAGAAAATAGAAAAGAAAAAGAAACAACAAGGCGTTTGCCAACGTGTGCCACCACACTGCGAGTGGTGAGCGAGCCGTGACCGCCACCTTTCCCGTCTCCGTCCCCGCTGCAGCTCTCGCTTACATTCCTCACTTCGGTTCCCGTTGCTACATTCACTCACTCATTCTCCACCCACTGCCACTCCCCACTTCCCCACCTGCACCCCCTGCTGCTCCACTCCCACTAACATTCCCTCATCTGCGTCCGCCCCTACCCCGCACTCTCCCAAGTCCAAGTTTCCGTCTCCGATACTATTTCCGTTCGCAACCCGTTCTCAATTTCCTTCCTGTCCTCAGTCCCTTTCTCATTACTGTCCCAGTCCTCACTGTCCTTCTTGATGCCATTGCCGACCTCATACCACTAATGATTCCAATCCTGCCCCCATCCCCTCCTCAATCCCGTCCACATTCCCCTTCATATTCTCGTCCCCATTTTCATTTTCTATTCTCTCCATGTCGTTCGTCGCTTGATCCATTTTCTGTCGCCAATCCCATTCTCAATTCCTTTCCCGCCCTCAATTCCGTTCCCGTCCCCAATTCTGTTCCCGTTCTCAATCCTCTTTTCCGTTGCCTACGCGTCTCCATTCCCCCATCCCCTACCCTTCTCGTCTAATTCCCGTTCTCAATCTCCTTCCTGGCTCCACACCCGTCCTCGATGCCGCTCACCCATCCTATCGCTAACTCTGTCCCACCGGGGGCGATGGGTCGGTGCTTCTGACCGGGAAGTCCTGGATTCAAGCCCCGACGGTGGCAGGAGCTACATTGCCATAGCCAGACAGGTGACACTAGCCACATAGCTAGGTAGAATTCAGTTGCTGTCTGAAGGAGAATTACAGCAGCCGGCTCCTTTGATCGATAATTTTCCGTGGTTTCTCTGATCAATACCACTGCCGGAGCAGTACCATAACAAACGGACCGCGCACGATCTTTCCTTCCCATTCCTTGTTATATCCTACCCCTTACTTACACACACATAAACTTACATGCATTTTTCTACCACAAGCCGGGAGACCGGTCGGGAGTTTAGAGCTTGTCCCGTCTGGCGCGGTGCCCCGCTGGTGGGTGATACCTTCTTGAAAAAACCCGCCGACGTGAAGTTGGGTGCTGGATCACGCCATCCAGTGGGGAAAGATCACCGACGCCATACGCAATAAAAACATGTACTACACCGACGAGAATACAAATAACCTTAAAAGTTGACCGGTATCATTAGTAATCATTCAATCTCTATACCGTTGCATATCCCTTTCCTTTCCATTTCCACCAATTTCAACCAATTCCCGTCCTCAATCCCCTTCCTGTTGCCACCCCCGTCCTCGATCGCGTTCCCTTCCCGCGCCGAGGAGGAAGAGGACGGCGCTGCGCGGCGCCGCGAGGACCCAGCTGCTCGCGCCGTGCGTCACCCCGCTGCTGCTCCTCCCGCGGAGCGGGGCGGGGCGGGGCGCGGGCGGGGCGCGGCCGAGGCCGGCGGCGAGCGCGGGGCGGAGCGCTGGGACGGCGAGGGGACGCGCGGACGCGGCGCCCCAGTCGCCGTCGAGGGCTGGCGGCGAACGCAAGCGCCAGTAGAGCGGAACAGTGCGGACCCGCGCGCGATCGCAAGAGGAAGCAGTCTTCACGCCGTCCTCAGCGGCTCCTCCCTGCTGTCGGCGGAACGCGCCGGGAACCGCCCGCGGCCTGCGCGGTGAGTGGCTGCGCGCGGGAGCTGCGCGAGGGGCGCGCGCCGGGGCGGCGGTGGCGCCGCGGGTGACGCGCAGCTGTCAACGCGCGCGGCCGTCCCACGCCATGCGTCGCCACGCCACGCGTCCGTCATCCGCGACCCTCCGGCGAAGCGCCGTCGCCGAGGTCATCGGTAGGATTTCCTTCCCATTGCGCGCGCAGATGGACGAACCAGATTCATGAAATCGAAGGCTAAGCTCAGTAGTGGTCTAACCCTCCAAAATTGAGAAAAAAAATAGCTACGTAAACCATTTGTTACCTAAGAAGGTGAACTATCAGTGCACATTGATGGTTTGACCTGTTTTCGTCTGTAACGTTAAGAATGAAGTCGCTATTATTTCTCTTCACAACGCTTTCTGACCAGACTACGAAACTTTGACTCGACTTTTCTCCGTTTCCTTAAAATGTGGCTTAGACTACTATTGCGCTGACCTAAATAAGTACGAAGAATATTACTTAATCGCGGCGAGAATAAATAACAGCAGGCAAATATTAAAGTTATTTCTGTCCGGTGAAATAAATACTAGAAGTTCAAATTGTTGATATATTTGAAGATATGACTTTGGAAGGAAAAAGTGGACCTACCAAATGTAATATTAGTGTTGAAAGTGTTAAGCGATACGAACGGAGGATAAATTGGAAACTTTTCGTGAAAAATGAATTAAAGAATTGATGTCATGTTTATAACTGAATTGTAACTTGATATAAATCAATACATTAATTGCGAAATTAAAATGGCCATTTTAGTGTAAAGTTCACAACATTAATAGAGGCTTGAGTAGTGTTCTGTGGCGATCACATTGACCTCGATAGAATTACATTTGAAATTCATTGGTATTTAGATATTTCTGTTAGCAACTTACGAAAATAAAGCATTTTATTTACGGAGAAATTTTCATGGAAAGGAATTATCGAGTTGCTTTTCAAAAACAAATAACAAAAATACGACACACCCGACTTGCTATTTCAGTTGCCATGTATCACTACTTTAAATGTGTAATATTATACACTAAGAAAACATCAAACCCGTTTTACTTCTACATTCCAATTGTTTCTTTTTTTGCATTGCTTTAAAATTTGAAGAATGATTACTTGTTTATTCAAAATTAAACTATGTAACTACTTTTCAAAACATTTTCTCAGGGATCGCAATTTCCATTATGTAAACTTAAAATGCTTCAAATAATGTGATATTTTATTTTAGTTTTGGAATCTTTGATATGATCGTGGAAGTCAGAACAAAACTAAAGTGCATGGAAACATAACACAGTTTCTATACAATGCTCTAATTCAAATGCGCAGAAGTGTTAGTCGTTAACACTAATACATCATAATGTTAGATTATTTTACAATAATAAAATACTGTGTATTACATCATAATGAGAGTGTTTCATTATTTTACAATATTCAATTTTGTTTTCGGTTAATTAAATATGTATGTTATCGATATTTCGTTATTTTAAAGTTTGCGAGAATCGGTATAAACAACATTTCATTCATGCAAATAATACTTAGTATTTCTTGAAAGCAAATTTGATTTGATACGAGCAATCGAGTATATTGCATAATCAATCATAAAAAGGAGCACGCTACCAACATCATAAAGAGTAAATGAATGTTCTTGTAACAAACGTTCAAATCTTTCACATTTCATCAACCTTTCCTCAGAGTATTTACATAAAAGCAGCATTTGAGAAAAAACTCTTCCACGTTCTATTTTAACTCAAAATATTTTAGAAATGTTTATTTTTGATGAAGTCTGGCCATTAAGAACTGAGTCGCGATAATTTTATTCTCACCGTGCGCCACATTTCGGCAACCTGCGCGAAGGGGAGAAATATACCTGTTAAAAGTTCTGACATATTTTCGTAAGAGAGTTTGCCATTGAAAAATGGCGACTGTCAAAAATAGATTGGTGCGAACCAGAAGAAGCTGGTGTTTGTGGTACGGGAACTTCTGAGTTTAGTATGCTACCCAATTCAATTTCTGAGTAATTATGTCGCAGAAGTGTTCAGTGCGACGAAGAAGTGTAGAATATAAATTACGTAGTAGTGTTTGGTGTACCTCAAGGCTGTAAAAACCCATATGATTTACTCATCTTTCGTTTAACAATACCTGAACATTCGTAAAAAAATCTTGATCAATTGGACAATGATGGGCCAGTAATATGCGAAAATTCCAATGTTCTTTCATATCTCGAAATCACAGTATCCTACACAGTGAAAATGGTGGGCCGATATTATGCTCGAATGATCGAATGATCTTTCATATCCAACCTACAGTGCGCCACAGAATGACATCGTTGTTGACATCATATTTGAAATTAAAAATCAAATAATCCACTTATCTCAACTATTTCTTTTTTCTTTCGCTGTTTTATTACTTGGCGTTACTTTCGATATTATTTCGAATAATTTGTTATACATGAACACTATTATTCATTATAGGAATAAAAATATTACTCAATAGGCGCATCAGCGTTATCAAGAGAAACTCGTTCACTAACAACCCAATAGTACTACTAGATACTCACTTGCAAGTACTAAATTTGATTACACTTATTTCAAGTACATTTTTTCTCGTATGAACAATGTTATATTATGGAATAATTTAATAGCTCAGAAACTCGTTCTCAAAGATAAAAACGGTGAAATAAATAAGATTAGAATTTAGTGTTTATTCTATAAAACCAGCCAAAAGAATATTTTTAGGGCTCACTACTGTACATGTAACGAAACAATATCACTAAATTTCGTTGTGTAGAAATCTCACACTTCATACACTTCATTCTAAAATAAACCCTTTAATACTTTAAATATAGATATTAAATTTGCACATATATTGGTACACTAATATATATTTGACAGATTCTTTGAAAAGTTAATATAAATATTACGTTTAAATATTAAATATTGTTGTTTTTATATGTGTTCACGGTATTTTTGAATTATTTTAAAGACGTTGTCATTTAGGAGCACACTTCAATATCGTTCCACTTGACATTTTTGTCGTCCCCGCAGCCAGGGTTATGCTTCTCGGAGGAAAAAAGGTTAGTCACTTCGCGACGTAATTGTGACGGGTGAATGGTTCTGCTTGTGATGCTTTCACGAACATTTGCTGTTTTTTGAGGTTGCGAAAAATAATGTTTGCGCGTGAGTCACATTTTCCTGGTGTGCTTTCCCCAAAATTCCAGAATTGCGAATTCCAGGAATATGGAGGTCAGAGCGTTTATGTCACTAAATCATTGGTGCCCGCTCTATGTGAGAAATCTCTTTCAAATGTGCAACGTTTTGAAATACTGTCTTTCACACGCTTTTAATACCCATTAACTTCAACAGTATACCAGTACCTAGCTTTGATTCTAAGATACCTATCTTAAAATCTATTCTAAGATACCTACCTATCTTTGATTCAAAATAATAACACAATAATTACACAGAAATTGTTTTGTCTCTTCGTACTTGCTGCAAACATGAAATTTCACGGCTCCCTAATATCCATTTGTATACAGTCGAATATATTAAAATCAAATCTTTTTAATTATACTTCGTATCAAATTGAGTATCTTTTTATTCAATGATTAAAACATCTCTGATCAAGGACTAATGAATGGAAAAATAATCATAAAATGAATTTGATGATGATGATGATAGATGATGACGACAACTACGCTTACGGCTTTTGAGCTTAGGCCAGAGTCGAAGACTAGACAAAAAACATTGGTGTTTTGCGAGATGAGTGATTGAGGTGATCACAAAGGGTTAATGATGAATTTAAGAGATAGAAATGACTGTGCCGTTCACGCCGCTGTGTAGGTGAGTCTCATGTCTTGGCGCGATTCCGCTGCCCGTCCTGGGTCGCTTCTCCAATCCCCAGCGCTACTGAAGGCGCCTAATGTGAGTTGATTGTCGAAAGATATTCCGATATATAAGGCAATCAACACACGATTAAGTTAAGTTTTTACTTACACACAAACTATTATAAAATCATGTTAGGTATTACTCGTTACCATTCGTCGCGAAACTTATACTTTCACTTCATCATATTGTAACTAATTAATTTTTACCCGTTTCAAAAGTGTAACTTTCATTATTTTATGACTCATTTTATTACAAGAGATTATGACTTAGTGGTTGAATTTCACATTATTGAGAATAATTTAACTTTGTCATTCTAACATTTTTAACCATAAGTAAAAATGGAAGTTTCACGAAATGGTAATAATAACAAGCGTTATTCTGTAATATGTTGTGTAAGTAAATACAGTTAAGTTAATATTTGAGTTGTGATTGTCTCAAATAGCAGGATACCGTTCCAACATAATCAACTTTATAGACAATTAGCATTCGTCTCAACAAGAGAAAGAAAATAAAATAAAATAATTAAATGTTTGTTTTTACAAACTCTAGAATTTGTTTGACACAGCCACTGCAGTTTTGTAAATATCGTTTGAATGGTTTCTGTTAACATAAATATACCTGGGGACCATGTTTTCGAGAATGTGTTGGTATGTTGGCAACACGCAGAAAAAAATAAAGTCCAATAATAATGAGGGGGGCAATTAATCAGATTTTTATTTGAACACGGCATTTAATGAGCAGAACCTTCCCATCGGTATCGTTAAAATGCTAAAAATATTTCAAGAAAAACCCTCTCCAATCTATTGATAGATTTGGGTTTCTGGGCGCGTCAACTGCTATGATCAGTCCCGTAAGTGCAGTGTGTGTTTTTATCGCGGTTGGTGGCTGTGATATTTCTCCTCCAGAAAGCGGCTGAATTCGATCTAGCTATCTAGTTAGTGTCGAAACTCCTGCTATCGTCCTTTTCCGAACTACGCTTGTTACACTAAGGTGCATGGTTGCCTCTTTTGGTCCATATACATTTGAAGAAAATGGTGTACCTCTGAATTAATTGGGAATGTTACGTTGTCACATTCAACAACACTTGTCACCTGTAATGCAAATA